ACTATTCCAGCCAAAACCAGGACAAAACATTTTAACTATCCTTAAAACAGTAGGATCTTAGAGAAAATCAAGCTGCAAACCTTTCAGTGCCATCATAACTATAAATCTTTCAATGTCCATTGTTTTGGGAAAGATGATACTGTTTCAGGTAACTAAACAATGTCCTAGTCATCACCTCTAAAGCAGCAAAGGAGTCAGTCATGTGAAGCCATATGTCTTTAAAAACATTAAGTTGCAAGCACAAATGGAAGTAGGTTGCAGAGAACACTCGTGCCCTCAACTTTAACCTCCAAATAACACTTCAAAGGCAAGTGTCTAGCCCTTGCTTTGCTCAAATTATGCTGTGTATTCCATCTTGCTAAAAATAAGGTGTGGAACAGAGATAAGTAAAAATTGTCTCTTCAGAAAGCAGTGCCATGCAACACACACTTGCTAATTGCCATGCAGCACAAGTCTAAGCTTTGCTTTCAGAAAGGGTTCTTTGCCAATACTGCTGCTGTTCTGCAGCTGAGCTGCAAAGTTCACACTGCTGCTCTGTAACACAGTCACTTCAGTATCCAAATCCTGCTTTTCATATTTGGTCTTCTAGTTCTTTAAAGACAACTGCAGAGACATTAGTATACTGTGGTCCCAGTCTTTTTAAGATTTGTGCTTTTACCTTGCCGTACACTTTGTCTGCAGTCCCACTGATGTTACCTGTATGTGGTTTAGTGTGTAGAATTTAATCTGATTTTTGCCTTTTATTCTTGACATTTTTTTTTAGAGAAGGATTAAAATCAGGTTAAGAAAATAGAGCCGGTTAATGAAGTTCTTCCTTAAAGGCAGAAGAAAAGGATTTTTTTGTACTCAGCTGGACCCCCCACAGCTCTAGTCCCAGAACTGATGCTGACAGTTCTGACTCTTATAATACCTGTGCTTAAGCCAAATTTTCATCTGAAGAGTATCTTATCCCCAGGAGGCAGCCACAGATACTTAGAGAATGGCAATGATAGGTCACAGAGAGAATCCTTCCCCAGGCAACTTGCATGCCTGTTAAATCAGAATGAATTACTGTACCTCTTAATTAGCCAGCCATAGCTCTTATTTGGCATGTACAAATGCTGAGGAAAACAATTCCTGAGTGAGAGAACTTATCATCTGAAAGACAGACAGTCCTACAACAGACTTGTCTGCTGCAGACAAGCTCTGCATTGCAGAGGCAGAAGAAGAATTTGGCCCACATATTCAAAAGGTTGTAGTTCTGGCTTTTGGATCATGCTTTGTTATATAAGAAAAAGGAAAGGAAGTGTTCATCTAATTACGCAGTTTCCAGAAGACATTTGTTAATTATCCAGAGTATTTCGATAGCTTTTCCCACTGAAAGGGCTTACATGCCTATGTTTTCGCCTTCAGCTAAAGAATTGTTAGCAAATCCACTTTAAGAGAGAAACAGTGAGGTGGCTCAAACAGCAGATGTGCTGGGCAATACCCCACACTCCTCTGAGACCACTGGGGTACAAGAGCCATGTCTGGCACTGCCAAGGAGGAGCTGGCAGCAGAGTCCAGCTTGCCCAAATCCCATCTTCTGTATTTGTCAGAGGGCTGGTCTGTTGTAACGTAATAACTGCGGGCTGAATTGATTCCTGCATTTCACACTGTGGCAAAATTACATAAAGAGTTATTATTTTCTTCATTGGGAATTGCTTTCATTGTGTAACTATTTTATTCTGAGCAAGCACAGTTTGCTGGGGTCTTCAGGGAGCACAATTCACAAAGCGCCATCTTCCCTCCACGTGTCAGGTAAGGACAGCATCTCTGCTGAAGCTGCTTGCCACCATCATCACATCTGATCTATAAAAGGTAAATCCCAAGTGTGATCACTCAAGTGCTCTGAGTAAGTTACAATTGGAAAAAATTATTTTCATTATATGTTGCTTGGACTGTCCTTTTTCAGCATGTAGTACAGTGGTGTCTCAGCTGGTTCCTAGGCATTCAGATCCTAGAGCTGTGACACATTGGTACAGTTATTACAGAACCTACACGTAGGTAAACCAAAAGCTCTTGCTAACAATTGCAGGCAAGTCACACCAGCCTCGTGCAGCTCCTGGGATGTCACTCCTGATCAGCCTCCATGCTAAGAGCACTCTCCTCAGTTACCTCTGACACTCAGTTACCCTGCAGGGAGACCTGGATAGGCTGGAAGAGTGAGCTAACAAGAACCTTAAGTTCAACAAGGTCAAGTGTAATGTCTTGCACCTAGGAAAATGTAATCCAGAAGTGCAGCACAGGCTGGTATCTACCCATCTGAGGAGCAGCTCTGTGTAACAAGCAGCTGGTGGACAAGCAGCTCACCATGAGTGAACAGGATGCTGCTGCAGCAAAGAAAGCCAACAGGACGCTGGGCTGCAACAAGGGCATCACCAACACAGATAAAGAAGCATTTGCCCCACTCAGTGCTTGCCAGGCTACACCTGAAATGCTGTGTTCACTTTTGGTCCCTGCTACACAACAGAGATGTGGACAGGCTGGAGAGGCACCAGAGAAGAGCCACAAAGAACATCAAGGTTTGAGAAGCTTGACATAGAAATAATTGCAGAGAGAAATGGGCTTGTTCTGCTGTCAGAAGAGAAGGCTCAGGGAAGGCTTTATCCTCATATTCCAGTATTTAAAGGGTGGCTACAAAGAAGATGGAAATTATTTTTTTTACATGGACCCCCATGCAAAAGACAAAGGGTAATGGATACAAATCATTTGTGGGGAGATTCCAGTTAGACACAGGAGTAAAATGTTTCACAATAAGAAAAATCAGCCACTGGAACAATCTCCCCAAGGAAGCGGTGAATTCCCCAGTGCTGAACAATTTTAAGATTCAGCTGGACAGGGCGCTGTGTCATCTTGTGAGATGTTTTAAGCTACAAAGAAAACCTAGTATTTTTGAGAGAGATTTGAATGACAGAGAAATATTTCTTAGTGCCTTACTGGTATTAGTGCTTCCTAGGCATGAGGATTAGTGGGCTAATCTTAGGGACACTGGAACAAGGGGCAGGGAGATGATGAAGACCATATGATCATGATAACCCTGTCTCCCTGCAAGCTCCCACATACAAGTGTACCTACTCTGATAGGCAATGCTGAGCAATTTGGCATGTGCATTTCTTGAAATCCCACCAAATCCCTCCCAATTTTCCTTCTTCTTGTAAGAGCAGCCTCTGATCCACCCAGTTTCTGCTCAGGCTGGAGCTGGGGGCTGGAGGTTCATGTGAGCCAGGAAGAGTCTTTCCTCTGACTTTAGTAGGTGGTATTTAAAGCACTGAGAGAAAACCCAGCAGCCCTCAGCTGTGTTGTTCACTTTTCTTTTGAGAATGCTTACTTTGGCAGACAGGATCCTAGACTTAAACACAGATGATTTAGACTGAAGTGCTGTCACAGCCAGATGCCAAATGACTTAAGGCAAAATAGCTATGCTTCAGCTACTTCTCTGTGAACAGAGATAATTATTCCCTGCTGTACTGAACATATAACAATAAAATCCGTCAGTGATTTTATACACTTTAATAAGTACAACAGTGTAGGCACTAAAATAGATCTGATTATTTTTGGTGAAAGCTTAATTGCACAGCACTGAGATCACCTGAGATCATGTCTGAGTAGTAGCATAAAGCTGCAGCAGTCTTGAGGATGAAGTGTATTTTCCCATTAAAACAGAAGCATAGAAGTGGGAAAAGAGTTGAAGAAAAGGGGAAAACACCTTGTATAGAAAAGAAAGATGAAAAAGGATAAAGGAAAATGAGAACAGGTTAAAAATGGGAGATGAAGTGATGCATGTTCTTGGCTGCAGGGCAAAATTCAAATACTTTAAAATACAAATGCATTGTGATAATTGATAAAAGATTCGTGTTAATCACAAAAGCGTTGGGGTTTGTATAAACCAGAATACTAAGCTCTGAAGTGAAGCATAGACACTAGGTAAAGGAAATTATATGATAAAATCATTCTGTTTAAAATCACCTTGTTATATTATGTTGTATTACATTATGTTTTCCAAATAAGTTGTATCGGCTACCAGCTTGCAAAATCAGACTTCCCAATAGCCCTTCCTGCCTTTGTCTGATCAATACTGCTTATCCCGAGGACCAGACTTCCAGAACTTCTCTGGTGGTTATCTACAAGGACCAGATGGCTATCTGTGACTGATTATCACCCAAAGGCTTTGTGAATTTGTGTAAGGATGTTTGGTCAACCACCACTGCTTACTTGGCAAAATTATGACAGCGAAAAACACAAATAATTATTGATTACAACGAGAAACCACAGTATAAGAAGAGGCTGCAAACCGAGGTTCGGTGGGGCGTGGAGTGGGCGGTGACCCCTCACATTCCTCAGCGCGCTGCTTGCTCTGTCTATATCAAATAAAACAACATAAATTTTGCTGAATATAGAGACTTTTGTCTCTCATTTACAACAGCATCAATTCCATTTATCAAATTTCAGCTTTTTACATAGCTCTCACAGCCATTTTCTGAATTGGTATGAAATAAATTGGGGTTACTGGTTCAACAATGGGCAATTATGGCCACAGATGCGCAGAGGCCTGGAGCACCTCTGCTATGGGGTCAGGCTGGGAGCTGGGGCTGTTCATCCTGGAGAAGACTCTGGGGATACCTGAGAGCACCTTCCAATACCTAAATGTACAAGAGAGCTGAAGAGGGACTGTTTACAAGGGCATGCAGTGATCGGACATGGGGGAAATGGCTTCAAACTGAGAGGACAGGTTTAGATTAGGTATTGGGGAAAAATCCTTGATGTGAGGGTAGTGAGGCCCTGATACAGGTTGCCTAGAGAAGCTGTGGATGCCCCATCCCTGGAAAGTGTTCAAGGCCAGGTTGACTGGGGCTTGGAGTTACCTGGACGAGGAGAAGGACAAGGCTCCTCCGGCCGCGCCTCCCGGGCCACGATGGCAGCAGGCAGCACATGGCCCCGCTCCGCCCCTGAGGGCCGGGGTCCTGCCTGGGCGGAGCGGAATGAGCGCCACGGACCCGCCGGGACCGGCTGGAGACGGCTCTGGCCTCCGGGGGCCGCTGCTTTCCCTCTTGCAGACGGTCCTCGAGTGAGCGGCCCGCCCTGATTCCCGCGTGGGACGGTGGGGAGGCGGCCCAGGGTGAGCGGCGCTGTGAGGGGCGAGAGCGGCGGGAGGTGGCCCGGGGTGAGCGGCGCTGTGAGAGGAGAGAGGGGCAGGGGCAGCCAGGGATGAGCGCTGCTCCGAGGGGAGAGAGGGGCAGGACGCGGCCCGGGGTGAGCGGCGCTGTGAGGGGAGAGAGGGGCAGGGTGCGGCCCAGGGTGAGCGCTCCTCCGAGGGGAGAGAGGGGCAGGGTGCGGCCCGGGGTGAGCGGCACTGAGAGGGGCAGAGGGCGGCACGGGGTGAGCGCTGCTCCGAGGGGAGAGAGGGGCAGGGTGCGGCCCAGGGTGAGCGGCGCTGTGAGGGGAGAGAGGGGCAGGGGCGGCCCGGGGTGAAGGCGCTGTGAGGGGCGAGAGGAGCAGGAGGCGGGCGCTTCGCTGTCCTCCGGGAAAGGAGCCGAGGGTGAGCGCTTTGCTGAGGGGAGAGAGGGCCGGAGGTGGCGGCGTTGGCTGTGAGCTTGGCTGGAAGCTGTGGGACGGGGCTGTCTGATTTTATTCTGAGTTACTTAAAGTGACTTAATAGCACCTGTTTAATTGCCGTTGTGGAAAGCGCGTTTCTGGTGGAGTTGGTTTGCAGTGTCACTTCGAAGACTACTCTGCTTTATTCGCAGGTTCATTTTAGTTTGTTTTCTCCTATACTTTTCATTTAAAGTAATTATATTGCGTCTTAACATTTGGAAAGCAAGTGCTGAAAATGCATTTCGGCAGAGCTCAGGGCATTGTTTCCCCTCAGGCAGCCGCTGTTTGGGTGGTGGTTCCCCTCAGACTCCCGGACATAAGGAACCCAGGAGTGTGCTTTTTATTACTACAAACTTCTCTAATAAAAGTACAGCGAGGTCTCCTCCAGAGACATAGTGAGCTTCACGTGCAGGTGTTGATAGCCCCTCCTACTTGTCGGTGTGTTCCTCTCCTAAAGAAATTTTCATCATTTAACAGCAGTATTCATTGTTGAGTTCTTGAATGCAGAAAGTGCTTTGCTGTTCAAACAAAAGAAATAAATGATAGAGAATTAGCCTTCCAAAATGAATGCTTAAATATCTTCAGAATATAACCCAAAAATACTTTAATTTGTGTGCCTGCCTGAATTAATCTTTAAATCCATGCTTTTGCAGTTACCTGGCCCACAGCCACCTTTGGTCATACTCTAATGGCAACCTTTACATGATGGCAGAACCACTTAATCTTCAACATAATGAAGTTGCAGATGCAGATTTAAGCAACAGGGTCACAGGTACCAACTTACTGTTGAAAAGCTTTTAGTTTTGAGGCTGAGTTTCTGAACTGTCTAACAAAATCCAATATTTTGTAACCAAACAATACAGGGTATTTTTAACAAATGTAGAAACAGTACAGAAAGTTTTAACAGCAGCACAAGTGCAATAAGAGAGACTTTGTCCTAAGCGTGAAAGAGGTATCTTGACTTTATTCTTCTGTGATTGTGTATATGCTTTATTATTGATACACATCATCAGTATGAGTATGGCTTATAAATACAACTCCTAATTATCCAAACTTGTGCCTGCTGAAATGCCTCAGAAACTAAAAAAAAAAACCACCAGGATGGTTGAAGTGTTAGGGAATTTGGACCGATAAGTGGGAGTTGGAGTTCCTTCAGCAATGTTTCTTGCCTCTTAAGTGCCTCTGTACTGTCTGATCCATGTTCTCTTACTCCAAGTTGGGGAGAGGGAAAGGCTTTTGGGAGATCTGAACTAGCTTTATGTACAAACATCTTGAGTCTGGAGAGTTAATGAAATTTGATTTCATGTTAGGCAAGAGTTTTAGCTCAGGCAGAGTTTACAAGATTAACTAGCTTCCAGATTGGAAAAAAGGCCATGTAAGCTTTATGTTGTCTCAGTGGAGACCTTGGACAGGCCTGCCAGACTAAGATTTGAATGGCATATGTGGCCTAGAACAGAAACAAATTCTTTGTAGATGGATAAAAACAGAGTTCCTACTATATTGGTATGCAGGCTGAGCTGAATGTCTTCTAAGAGTTGTTCGGTAAAGAAAAACTCACAGGAAAGACCACAGGGTTTATAAGGCACTCACTGGAAAGTCAGAATCTCTTGTTTCAGTGTTTTGTTTCTCAGTATTGAGTGATAAGCACAGAAGGTGAAACTGTTGTTTTAATAATACCACTGATTGCATTGTCGAATAAATGTGGTATCAGAATGAAAGCAGGTGACTTCCAGAGTGTGTCATGGTCTAAGCATCTCTGTTTGCTCAGATGGGCTGGCAGAATAGTAGGAGTAGCCAAGAGCCTTGTTTTTCCTGCAAATATTCCATAACATAGGTATGTGTTAGTGTTGTTAATCAGATCCCTTTGCAAATACTTCTGCTTCTAGGAAGTTCTATGGAAGACAAAACTGGTAGAGAGAACTGCATAGCTGCAGCTGATAAAGAAAATACTGTGAGTTATTTCACTTTATAGTTGCCCCAAGTATTCTGAGCATTTCTAGATAGCGGGAATTATCAGCATGTATTTCTCTTTCTAGAACCTAGAATTTTTGTCTCCTTTTGTGGTCATATTTTTGTATACTAGAATATTTCTACCCTAATGGGCAGCTTTTTTTCCAGTAAGAATGACTTCAGGTTTTTCTTCCACAGGTGTCACATCTTAATTGGATTAATGGGAAGCCAAAGAAATCGCAATGCTCCTCTAAGAGTGCTTTTTCTATTTGCTATGATAAGAGTTTCTTGAGTTTGTTAGTACCACCCCCTAAAGGAGGCACTTGCCATCGTTGTGGTCTGTTTGGTAAGTGCCTGCTGTTCTGTAGTCTGTGACATACAGTACATTTATCAGTGAAACCACATCAGGTTTGCTCAGAAACATTTTTAAATTAATGTAAATTTTTAACTCTCAGACACGAGTATAGATTATTCAGAATATAGTTGGAGTAACAGAACTGACAAGCAGAAGAGAGCATTTCTTTATGAAAAGTGGTGTGTTTTTTCCCCTTAAATGTAGAAGGAATTTGGGACATTTGGGCAGCAAGGTCTAATAGCTGTATGTGGATACAAATACCTACTTTTATGTGCGGGGGAGCTGGTTTGTAAAGCAGTTATTTAAACAGTTGTTCCTTATGTGTTTTGCTTAGACTTCTCTTGTCTTTGTTTTTTTTTGTTTGTTTGTTTGTTTTAGGAAAGCTCAGATGTTCACGGTGTCTGCAAACATACTATTGCTCTGCAGATTGTCAGAAGAAAGACTGGGCAGCACACAGAGTAGTTTGTGAGCCCCTTAAACAGAAGTAAGTTTATTGAAAGTTCTGCTAAATAATCTTCACAGAAAGACAGTGTCCCTCCCACTACAACATAAATGGCCATGGGAAAGGCACTATTACAGTAAAATATGTTGCTTATTTTTAGGCTAGTACTGCATTATCTTATGCCTGTCATTATTATGTTAAATTATCATATTTGTAATTCTGCATTTTAGTGGATAAGGGTTGGCAAAAATCACATATTATGAACATAGCCTTTGATCTATTTGCAAGTAGGTTGTATTATTAATGCTACTTGTCAGTCTTTGATTTTTCAAATTGACATGTTTTTCTTTGATTACAGTTTAGATAATAGCAAAACCAAGACGGGAGTTTTTCTTAAGGTATGGAATACAATTTTGACTATGTCTTGATTGGATCTACTGTGAGTGAGTGGCAGTGTGTTTCATTTATCTGTACAGAAAAGGAACAAGTTGTTCTTTTTAGAAAGATCAGTGCTTCAAATGAAAAGTTGCTGGGAGAAGCATTCAGAAAACTGTTACTTCTAGAGCTCTTAAAAGCACTTATCAGACAACCTTGCTTCTTTTTGATAAAAACATTTGTGACAAAGTTAAAAATCAAGACATGTACGATGTTGCTAGAGAAATACTGTGGGAAGGAAGCAGATGTAGTGTGTCCAATTCAGAAAACTTCTGGTGTCTTGTTTTTGCGAAAAAATCATGAGCTGACTTTTAGAGCCATGGGAATTGATTAGAGAAGGACATTTACTGTAGTATTATACAGTAACAGATGCAGATAAGCTATTGTTTCTTTGCTGTAGGAGGAACTAAAGATGACACAGGTTTTTGTAGTGTATTGAAGCCTCTCTTGATCATACTTTGAGCCACACGTTTCTTCCAGTTTTCCTTTGAACTTTTCTACAGGAGTTGATTTTTCTGTCTTTGTGTTTTTTTGGGATCACATTTATGAAGGTGAATAAGTTTGCATACTTCCAACTAGCCTCGTGTTTGCTCTGTAGAACTCCTTTGTAATGTAATACTTTGGAGTGGCTTATTCATCTGTTTAACTTTTTGTAGTAGTTTAGAAAGGAGGCTTCATGTGACTCCTGTTAGTTCCTGTGTGTGTACTTGTGACTGGGTTCTAATGAAACTGATCAGCTGATATACCATATGGTATATGAATAAAACAATATGAATAAAAGATTTGCAGTCAGTTTATTTCCAAAGAGCAGAAGGGGTTTTATTTATCTTGTTAACCTTTTGAAGCTCTCATAAGTTCTGCAGAAGTAAGAGAGCTTAGATTGCATGTTGAATTATATTAAGGCAGGTTAAATTAAATTATTAGAATTTTTAAAAATGGATGCCCGCAAATAAAGCAGTAGCTATAATCTACTCTGGGGTGTTAAGGTTATGAGGAAGCAGTTGGAATTCAATTCTTCTTATTTATGAGAGCATCCTTAGTGGGAATTTTAGCTGAGTTGTCCTGTAAAACAGCTGTGAGGTGAATGTGTGAGTCTTCAGCACTTGTTCTTCATTGATGTTCAGTATATCTCTGCAGTGTTTCTTGAACTGTGTTACTACAAGGAACTACAGCTGAACAGCTCCATATTAAACATAACTTGTACCTGTTTTAAATAGAATAGTTCAACTTCTGGGAATTCTTTATTTTTATCTTAATTTCCCAATTCTTTAGAAGAGAGTGCAGAAGTTAGTTGAATTGATAACACTTCAGGCCCCAACAGCAGCTTTAATATGCAAGGCAATATTTCTGAAGGCCTTAATTATTTTGTCACTTAAATAGGGGGAAATAATCTGCTATCCCTTCGTCTAATTATAATTATTTCCGGTCCATTAAGTGTTTCTTTGCCCATTATGATCCAAAAGGAAAAAGATGAAATGAAGGCATTGCAAGCTTTTTTTTCCTCAGCTCATGGGAATGCACTATTCACTAACTGATGTTGATACATTACAGGAGGAAGTGAGATTGAGTTTTGCTGTAGATGTTGTTCTTCCAGATTCTGGTAAGTGCTTGGTTGTGTGGGTAAAAAAACCCAAGAGAATTAAGACCTTTATGTTCACACCTCTCCCCAACACCTGTAACAGATGAGTGTTCTTTCTTTTGCCCTCCTTCCTCTGGTCACTCTCCCAACCTCTCCCTTGACTTTTAATTTTTTTTCAATTCTACTTTATTTCACCTTTCCATAAAATGTCAGTACCTGAAATACCCTTGCTAAGCTTCATAGCTTTAAATTTTTTAAGGTTGCTTTTACAATAGAATTGTATTAACTTCAGTGTGTTCTGGATTATCTTGTATATTTTTCTGTTTTAATAGATGCATGAAAATTTGGTACCACTTTGTTTCTTTCTCATGCATTTTTAACTCTTAAAAAATTACAGTGTCAATTTCTAGTTCCACATGAGATTTTACCAGCTTTCGTTATATTTCATACCTGTTCCCTAAGTATCCCAAAGAATGAACCATCATTGGATATTGCTGTATCCAGCTGGAGAACTCTATAAGCATATTTCTGTTTCTAACTTAGCAAGCTTCAGTGAGAGACAAGCCAAGCACCAGACCTTTGAAGAGTCAGAATTCAGATTTTCAGTTTAGCTGGTTTGATTGTCAAAACAGATCAATACGTGCAGGTGAACCTTTTGTCGTGTGGAAGACATTATTGTTTAGTTTTCCTCTGGCTGCAGAGCAGGAACAATGTAGTGCCAAGACAATATTAATTTCATTGATCTGCAGGCCACAGAAATGTTCAGGTTGTTGATCCTCTTAGCTTGCTAAACTTGCTCATGTGCAGGAAATTTATCTCCATGCAATACTGTGCAGTCTGTCAAAGGATGGTTCATTTTAGTCCCTTGTAAATTCAACTGGTTAAGGATTGTGCTGGGCATATTTCACAGTACTCTAGTGGTGAAGTGATGTGTAACCTGCCAGCCTTTTGGAGAGAAGATCATATAAATATCACTGCATTCTTGAAATGTTCCATGCATTCATTCCAGACTTTATAAGCAACTGAAACACCTGTATTGAGGTTTTGTTTTGAAAATAATGGTATTGAAAGTTTGGAATACTGCTTCATGCATCAGAAATTGAGTACGTAATAGCTGAGAAACCAAGATTTACAAAGATATCTTGACTAAATCATTACATACTCAGTGTTGTAAATAATAAGGTAAGTTATGAATCCTTGTGTATGAAAAGCTATAATCAGTTTTTCAGCTCACAGTCTTTAGTGACTGCAAGTAAATGTTGATTGTTACTGCTTTGCTCATTTTATAAAGTCAGACAGTCTTAGAGCTGTGAATGTGCTCAGAGAACTCAAATAGTTGAGCTACTCTGAAATTACCTTTGTTTTGCATTTTAAACATTAAGTGCTGAACAAATAAGTAGAACATGCTCACTATGTGATAGGGATATAGATCTGGCTCAGAGAATGGAGTGAAACTAGCTAATGGCTATTTTGTATGATAAATCATTTATTCTTGCATCTGTGTTTTAGAAGACGGCCTAAAGAAAGTTCCCTTAGAAATGAAGTCTCATTTAACTTCAGGGAGTGATGCCAAAGGATACTCTCCAAGAGGTAAGCAAGCAAATCAAACTAAACTTGAGGAATTATAGGTCCTCCTGTGCTGCATGATACTCTAGCTGCTCACTAGCATCACCTCAGACTTAAAAATGTTGGCTAATGGAGCTTCCTTCAGGTCACTGCTGACATCAGCTCATACATATTTTAATAGTATAAAACATTTGTATAGTCATTATTATGTGGGAATTAATTTCATAATATGACAGGAGCCTTCAAAGTCCAAAGCATCAATAAAAAGAATAAACTATTTCAGTATGTTTATATTTTTAAAGTGAGCTGGCTTTTGATTGGCAGTCTTTTTTCTTTTTTATGTACAGAATCAGAAAACCATTCAAAGAGAAGTGAAAAAAAACTACCCGAGGTTGAAGATGCTCCTCACTGTGCTAATTCAGTTGCCAAGTTTGTCTCTTTAAATATTGGAGATGAATTTTCTGGTGTGGTTTCCCACATTCAAAATCCAGACACCTTTTTTTGTCAGCGGATGCAAAGTGCCTGTAAGTGATAGGTTGGAAATGGGATCTAGAATGCCTAGTATGGCATTTTTCTCATTGGTAGGGAGTGGTTGGAGGAAGGTGGATTTTTCTTCTGTGGGCATATGCAGCCTTTTAATTCTGGGTAGTCAGTATGAAAGTGTGTCCTTTGGGAAGACAAGATGACCTCATCATCTGCCTGTTGTTAGAAGAGCTATCTTCCTTAGTTTCTTCTTGGCATGACTCCACTAGCTTGCTTTCAATTTGCATTGGCTTCAGCTTTGTCCCTTTGCTGAAAAAATCCATCACTGGTTTTCCCTGTCTGTTCACTGCTGTCATTCCTCAGACACATATGAGGACTCTCTTGGATGTTAATGATTGAATAGTCCTAGTCTGATCAATGTTAAACATTTGAAATAATCTCCATTAGACTACAAGATGATCTTCCAGGCTTTGAGCTTAATTATTTTGTAATAATTGCAAGACAAGCTATGTACCAAAACCTATCTATTTTAACATCAGGTCAACTTGCTGAGCTTGAAGCATCTCTTAATGAATACTGTGACAAATTTCCCAGTAGTCCATCTTTCCGTCCTGCTGCTGGCAATGTGTGCTGTGCCCAGTTCACAGGTAAAAATGGAGTGAAAATAATAAGTTATGTCACTTAAATTTATTACCAAATAGATACATAATTATGTTTAGAAATGTTTCATGTAGAGTTTATTTGTCTCTGATTTTAGCTGTGGATAATGCGTGGTAGTGATTTCAAAAATTATGTCTATAAAATATCTATTTCGAAGTGTTCCTTTATTGAGCAAACTCATAACTCTGGATTCTGATTATTTAGAATAGTTTTGTAAGAGATCATGGAAAAATTGGGGATTTTACGTGGCTAAGTACTATTTCCCCAGGGTTGGAAATAAATATATCTTTGAAATTTCAGTCCCCAACAGAAACACAGAAGAAATGGGACTATATGTCATGATGCTGCTCTGATGGACTGCTTCTCAAAATGCTACTTAGCCAACACCTGGTAGTCCTGAGCTGTACTGAGATGCATGTATTTTTATATTGTTCTGTAAAAAAAAATCATTCTGTTCTCAGACATTACATCTGTATCTTCTTTTCTAGAAGACAACCTTTGGTATCGTGCTGCTGTTACAGCTTATGCTTCTGAAAGCACTGTTTTGGTGGACTATATGGATTATGGTAACTCTGACTCTCTTCCACTGACCAGACTTCGTCCTATAATTCCAAGCTTAATGGACTTGCCAGCTCAAGCCATAAGATGTAGCCTGGCAGGTATGAAGTAAATGATAAACAGTTTTAACCTAGATAGGGGAAAAACAAGTGGTATTACATAACCATCACACTTGTAGTATCTCACATTGAAACATGGGGAAGGATAGAGGTAATGGTTGGCATTATTTCCAGAATTCTTACCTGTCATGGCATATCTATAAAATGTGAAAAATATTTGCAGTGGTTGTACCTGTCCACACATTGGTGAGAGACTGACCTCAGAACCTTTCCATACTATGTGACTTTTTAGGTGTAAAGCCACCATTAGGAACATGGACCTCAGAAGCTATTTCTTACATGAAAAAACTGGTGAAAGACAAAGTGTTGACAGTAAAAGTAGTGGATAAAGAGAGTTCTAGATCTGTGGTGGAGCTTACAGATGCATCAGGCACTCCAGCAATAAATATATCGAGCCTTCTCATCGAGGAAGGCTGTGCAGCTGAGGAACTGAGCATGGCCTTACCAGCAGCCAGAGGGAGTGATGTTGAGCAAGCCAAGGGTGAGTATGAACACATCTTGCTTCACTGGCATTACTTAACCCCCTGTTAGGGTGGGTACAGAGAATGCAAGCTCTTGTCTGGTAAGAGCTTTTCAGTCTGGCTCATCAAGTCTAGCCTTCACCAGTCCAAAGTTTAGCCATGGCAACTTAGCCACAAAGAAATTGTGTGTCTGAATGTGTGTGTCAGGCATAGCAAAGTTGTAATTGCCTGCTTTTGAAAGCTGGTACTTAGTCTGGTTAGAAGTCTTAAAATTTCCACTTGAAGTAAGTTATTACCTGCTTGTTCTTACGCCCTTATCCATTAAGTGCAAATAATATTTCCTTTGTTTTCATTGTCCTATATTTTACATGTAAACCCACATACTTAGTCTTTGAAAATTTGACTGTAATAGCTTATGAAGCTTCAAGTCTATGCTTAAATTGCCTTGTTTAAATTTAGTGGCCAAAGCTTCAATTGGAGAGATTTTTGCAAAAGTTATGTTGGATTTCTTTGAAATCTCGGGGAAGATTCCTGGCTTCTCTCATATGAAGCATGCTAAGTTCCTTTTTTTCCATACTGTATCTGGCAAACATATGTATTCTCTTCTGATCCATTGGTACTGAAAACTTTTTTTGTCTAGTCTATGTTCAAATAAGTTCAGTCTTTCTCACTAGATGCTTTGTGGCCAGGACACAATTATTCCTTGTCTTTGTTCAGAAGAGTAAGGAATCTTACAAAAAATTCAAATAAACAGTAACTTTCTGTATCTAAGCACGTTTTGATCTATGGCCTTCATCGAGGACCTGTTATATTCTTCACTGGTTTACTGGTTACCTCTCACCTTCTTGTAATTTCCATTACTGAGCAGAGCTGTTGAATGCAGGTTTTAAACAGTGTGTTCTCCAGTGTGCTATGATTTAGTATTCCCATGGTGTATTGTACAGCTTGTGTTAAATAATAAGCTTCTTTCAGGTGCAAATTTCTGCAACCAGTATTTCTAATAATCTTTTTTGCTCTTCCTCCTTAGATTGTTTCCAGTAGTCTTGGTGGCAGGTGTTTCCCTCTTCTACGCTCCCTACCTTGTTTCCAGGAAATAAAGTTTTCAGTGTCCCTCTTGCATAGGCTGTTGCCAGCTAGTCTTTACCTCTGTGTGTGATTATTCTTCCCTGCTACCTATGGCTTGCTCTTTTTGGCAATGAAGAAATACATTAAACAACTGTCATATTTCTCCTACTTGGTTTTACTCTGCAAAGAAGCTCTCACTGGTAATTAGTCTGTTGGACAGTTTATAACAAGAAATTTGAGGATGCAAATGAGCATTCGGGATGGTTTTTTTCCTGTAAAAATTACTTTAATTTGATTTAATTCTATGCTTTTCTCTGTCCTCTCTAGAGGACACAAGGAACAAAAGAATGTGCAAGTGGATTAAATTAACTCTTAACCAAACACTGAGTGTCATAGTGTGTACAGTTTACAGTCCTGGAGAATTCTACTGTCAGATTTCAAACAGCCATGGTAAGTTTATTCAGCTTAATTCTTTCTGATAGTTTCTTTGCTTTCTGATTTGTCATTTGTTATATTTCTAATGAGCTACTATGTCAAGTAAGCTTACAGCACGAAGGCTTACCTCTGAGGTTTTTATCTAAGAATAAAAGTGGAGTGACAAAGAAATTGGATCATGGTATTGAAATCTGAAAATGTTGAAGATAAGCAGTAGAGGAAATTGAAAGAGTTACCATAACCTAGACAAAGGACATCTTAATTTTTTTTCCACTGGAAGAGTGGCCAGGCATTGGAATAAGTTGTCCAGGAAGGTGGTGAAGTCATTGTGTCTGGAAGCATTTGGATATGGTACTTGGTCATTATGGTGATGCTGGGTTGATGGTTGGACTAAATGATCTAGAAGGTCTTTTCCTCCCTTCATGATTTAGTGATTCTTTTAACAAAAGCAAATAAGAGATATGTTCCCTGTGCCAAGACAGTATTTACTGGAGCTCTCTTCTAGTGTGCTCTTGTAATTTATAAAAACTTAGAGATATAATTGTAACACAAAAATGGGAAAATGCAGCCATTGGGATGTGACTTCCTATTGGATTAGTTAAAAAGTAATCTTGTTTGTCTACCAGAAGTTTGTATAAAGACTTCTGATAGCCACTGGCTTTTTAAATGCTAGAAAAAGAATGTGACAAAATTCAGTGGCTGAAGAGGGAGCTAAAGGCATTCAAACAAAAAATATGGGGCAGCTCTTAAAAAGTGAGGGATGTTTGTTCCTTGACTTACGTAGTCAAGGAATACATCTGAAGGTTCACAGGTAAACTATAGAGTGAATAGCACTGATAAAGTTCAAGCCAGCTCATTTCATTGATCTCATCTTTGGTTTTTTCCTTTCTAATTTTCAGAGTTGCTTGCTCTAAGCTCGCTTAACAAATCGTTGTCTGAATACTGTCAGAAAACACCACCAGATGTTTTTGAGCCTGAGAAGGGAGACCCTTGCTGTGCTTTTTACTCTGGCAAGTAACAGACTAAAATAGTTTTGCTTCTATAGGGTAAACATGAAATATTAGCTGATAGTTTGCAGTGGCAGAGGACAACAAAGAATTATACTTATTTACTAACAAGTGAAAGCTAGTAGACTTAGCAAATGTGTGAAGTACTTATTAATTTTCTTTTTAATCTCTTTTGAAATTAGAGGATGGTAACTGGTATCGTGCTGTGGTGCAAAGTATCACTTCAGATGGAAGTGTTCGAGTGAGCTTTGTGGACTATGGAAATACTGAGGAAGTACCACTGCATAATATCCGACACATCTCATCCTCATTCCTAAAACTTCCATTTCAAGCAATTAAATGCTGGCTCTCAGGTGAATCTTATGAATTTTCTCTTACAAGAGCTCTTGCATTTAGAGACTTGCTGCTTTGGGGGAAGGAGGTGATCACAGGGAATACTGTGCACAACTCAGTTCTTTTGGGTTTGTTTGTTTGCTTTCTCTCCGCGCTCCTGCCAGATCTCTGGAGTGATGTGCATGGCCTTTGCTAACTGCTTTATTGGTCAAAGGGAGCTTGCTTAGTTCTGCTTCATCTGTAGTACTTACTGGTTTTTGGTTGTTGCCTTGCTAGGAGTAAATGTTTTTTTTTGTGTAACTTCATTTCTCAGAATTTTTCCAGGCAAAGGAGCTAATCTGTTTCAATGAAGCAAGTTGGCCCTTCAGTTTTCTTTCATTTGACTCCTGAAGAGTCTGGCACTGTACTGCTGTTTCTCAATGTTCTGCAAATTCCTTTTCCACACCATTCTAAATTCTGCAGAACCTTTCTTTGTTTCTGATGTAGTCTGCTTGATTTAAAAATGAAAAATGTGGAAACAGGAAAAAGCTCAAGGCCTCATTTCATTCAAGTGTCTTCTGCTATTCCCCCACCCACCCTTAAAACACTTAGCTTTTGTCTGCTCCTTCAATAAAAAGGCCTGATTATACTGATTCAAAAACAGTCTTAATAATGTTGTTTGTGCTAAGGCAAAGGATTTACTTGCTTGAATCATAATATATAGAAGATGAAACTTGAGAGTCCTGAGGAAATGGGGGCATTTAGAAAAAAGGAGGAAGAGAGGCAGCAGTTAATAGGATGAAGGACAATGTGTTGCCCTAGGATAGTAAAAGTAGCCTTGATATTTCAGGGTAGGCTCTAAAGAAATTTTTTAAAAGTATTTTTAAAGGAAATTATAATGTTGAGGAAAGTCAATGAATGGAGATATTTTAACAGTTATTTTACTTCCTAGGTGTAAAGCCTGGAAATAGCAAATGGAATCCAGAAGCTACAAGAAGATTTCATATGTGCACTTCAGGCTTAGAACTTCAAGCCACAGTAACTTCCCTTTCTGAAGATGGGGCAGGTGTAGTGCTTACTGATAATTCCACAGATTGTCCAAAAATGATCAATGAGATACTAACTTCAGAAAAACTGGTTGTAAAGGAAGTTCTACAAGATAAAAATTACTTTCCAAACAAGTCTGTTGACCAAAAAGGTAATTGAAGGAATGTTAACTTTTAGATTTAACAAAAATTTTCAGTATTCCAGCCTTTAACTGTTATTTTCTTGTTCAACTACTAGAAAATATTTGGTTATATTTTCAGTTCTTACAGCTGAACACCAGCTGCCCTGCAGGTGGCATTACAGACAAAAAGGAAAAGATAAAAATAGCTGTGTTTGTTTTAAGTGTGTGTTGTTTGACTCTCTGGGAATCAGAAAATTAGAAGTTTTTTATGACTGAAACTTTTCTCATGTTTGCTTTTCAAGATCTTATTTTTTCTGAGGTGTTTTTTACTTTAGCTACTTTTATATGCCAACAGTTTATGAACAGCCAAATAAGCATCAGTTGTCTTGGTTTAGGCTTGTCTTCCTGAACGGAAGGACACATAGTCGTGTCTAAAATTCAAAAAATTATCATAAATATCAAATAATATAATACTTCCTTAAAATAAATGTATGCTTGGAGGTTAGTGATAACACTGCATTTTCTTACAATTTTTATTAGAAATCTCACTTGGGCACTGGAAGTCAATTGAATTGGCTGTAGATGAAACCATGTCTGTCTGGGTAACAGAAGTTGTAAGCCCAGACTTGTTCTATGCTGTACCAGTTCCAAATAAAGGTAAGAAAAAGTGTTCATTGTTCCTAATACCATCAAGAAGTCACTATTGCAAGCTAGTTAATAAAGTGAATGTGTGTAGTGAACTGAACAGTGTAGAAATCTATCTTGGACAGTAGGAAAACATAAAAAATGTGAAAGGTGGGAGCAGAGGGCCTGAAGTATGCTCTTCATTGTACCCAGATGTGGTTAGTGAATGTGGGCTTTCTCTGCAGGTCAAAAGAATCTCCTGAAGGAGCTGATTTCACTGGAAGACTATTGTAGATCTTGTAACAAGCAGCCCTTCCAACCAAAACTGGGTGAAGCCTGTTGTGCTCAGTTTTCAGGTGAGACAATTGTCTGTCCTTCCATTTCCTTGGCCAATGTAAAACACAGCTTTCATTTTTTGCTTTAGACAAAGGAAAAACACTAACTTGAACGTGCTTATGGATCTCTTAATTGTGCTTCTTGTCAATTGGCCTTTTATATATCCACCAGAGTATATAAAAATTCTGGAAAACTCTACAGTTTCTTGTTCTCAGGATAAACTCTTTTTATAAGATGATTTTTCACACGTGACCATTCTTGTCCCAATCTTTTCAGGTAATGGCAATTGGTACAGAGCTGTTGTTCTGGAAGCTTCCCAGTCTGCAGTGAAAGTACTGTATGGAGACTATGGCAGCACAGAAACTTTACCCCTTTCAAAGGTGCTGCCAATCACTGATTCCTATTTAAAGCTGCCTTTTCAGACAATTACGTGTTCACTTGCAGGTAAAAGAACCTCTCCAAAATAAGCAAAAAAAACCCCACCCCAGAAACCCCTGACTGGTTTTCTTGAACATTATAAATTTGTACCTCTTCTGATTGGTAGTGTTAATTCCTTAATACTGATAAACAGCATGGTGATCTCCTGAAATGGTATATTGGTAAACATGGTAAAAGCTGGTTTAGAAAACATGTTTTTAGTTCGTTATCTTTAGAATTCAAGCTATTTATATTAGGAAAATTTAGCATCGTATTTTCCAAAACATGTATGTACGATTTAAGTTACAGCTTAAAGGAATTATTTATATAACAAACTTGATTTTCCTTTTTCTGTAGGAATAGAGAAAGCTGAGTGGTCTCCATTAGTGCTTGACAAGTTGAAAAAACTATTATTAAAGCAACACGTCACAATTACAGTGAAAGGGATTAATGGGAATGTTAATTTAGTAACAGTGGAGAAACACTTGGACAATGGTTATGTGAATATAGCTGACAAACTGCTGAAGGAGGGTTTGGTCACATCCTGCACTGCTGAAAAATCTCATAGTGAACATCAAGGTACATACTTTGGCTTGATTACTTCAGTTTGCTTATTCTGAGGAACTTGCAAGCACGGGGGGTGGCTAAATGACTTTTCCTTCTAAAAATCCTGGACAATGCCACGTATCGCCTCTTAAATTAGGGAAGGAAAGTATGTGTGTATTTTGCTCATTCACTTTGGTTTTTGTAGGTAATGGAGGTGAGACCACCTGCTGCTGCACAGAATTAAAAGTCCAAGTAAGATTCACTCTAAGCAATACTTTCTTTTTTATGTTTCCAGAATTCAAAAGAAACTCTCTGTAGGAAGCAAATGGGAGTAGGGGGAATACTCAAACATGGAAGTGTTGTGAAATGTATCCTGACACTTCTTATCAGGTTTTTTTATATACGGTAATAATTGGAGCATCCTGAAGCTGAGGGAGGATGGTGTTTAGGGCACACAGACTTCATTAGTCTGTACTTTGCCCCAAAGACAACTCTTACTTCAATTTTTTAGAGTTTGAAGTCTCAGGAGTGGTACTTTCTCTGTTGTCAAATTTAAGATGTTAATCTCAATCTTAATTTTGAGTATTTAATCAGTTTGGTTTTAGGAAGCTGCTTCAGGAGAAAAAAGGAGGGGAGGGACACACATCGAAAAAGGGAAGTCAGCTACAATTCTGTTGGCTTTTATCCTCCTCTAGAATATTTTACATAAGAAAGGAACTAAATATTTATTGGATTAATACAGTACTTGGCTGAGTTTGTCATATTAGCATCTACCGTGATCTGAAATCTGTAATTAGAAAAAGCCAGAATTGTATACATGTAACTCTTTCTGCTTATTCCACAGCTTGAAAAGCATAAGCAAGTCCTACTCTTTCTTTTAAACAAGTTTGGGAATCCAGATGGATTCACTGATATGAAAAATCTGTTGAAGCAGTAAATCTCTGACATGCACCATTTCTTTTGCATGTCCACCAAGTTGCTGCAGTTCCTTTTTTAGAAGATCAAGAGCATCAGGTTAAAAAATGAGAGTCACTTTGTAGAAACTGTGCTGTTTAAGTACCTGCATTTATCTGTATGCTTGGATTGTTACTGTGACACAAGTATGTAACTTAGAGGATTGAAAAGCTGCAAGCTAGAATTTCTGTTCTGTTCTCGTTTTATTGCACCATGTGCTACTAAACTTTTTGCTTGTATTTTCTTGTTGAATGCACAGAAGTTCATGGAATGGCCATTACATTGTGAGTCTGTTCTGCAGACTTGCATTTGAAATTATTGTAATTGTAAGGCTCACTTAACTTTGGTGCCATTTATATTACTTGAAAAACTATCTTTTTTGATTACTCATCTTTCAACCTAATTTCTGGTCTGAAGTTAGACAGAGATTTGTTCTTCATAAACTTGATTTCAGCATCATTAAAGGTTGAATGCTGTCTTGGACTGCATACAGGTAGTTCTCTCTAAAATCAGTAAACACTTTAATGTGCACAGTTCTTTCTTTACACTTATGCTGTATAATACGCATTTGTGAATGTTATTTTGAAGTGAATGTTATTTTGAAGTGAATTGTGTTGAAGCTGTTTTGTGTGTAGCTACATCATCAGGATTTCTACCCCATCAAGTGTTCACATCATAATTAAAAAAAACTCATTCTGGGCTATTACAAAAATACTGAATCAAATTATTAAGAGATTTTCAGTGTTTCTTCAACTGAATACCTAGTTGTCATTTCGGACTAATTCAGGAATGTCAGATTACTGTTTGTGGAACACAGTAGACATTTGCTGATTAAAACTGCAGGGTCAGCCTTTTTGTCCACTTAAAACACATACTTCAAGTTTGGGTTTTTGCAGATTGGAAGAATCTTGAGATTAAAATTGTTGCAAAATATTTTCCTTTGACTTTATGTTTTATTACACTCGAATTGCCTCATATTTCTTTTTCCTGTCTTTAGTTTTTGTTGCATCCTATTCTTGCAGTTACTAATAATTAGATGAATGTTTGCACTTGGATTTCTAGAGTTTTGTTCATGCCCCTGGTTGTGGCTTTGTCAAGCGTCCTTTGACTCCCTGGGACCAGAGTGACTTGCACAAGCATTTTCCCCCATGCGAAGCACCTCACTGGTGTTCTAGTACTCCCACACCTCTTGTTCACTTGTCCACATCCTCCCTCTCCTAGCACTTTCTCTCTGCATTTCAGAAGATGAGTTTGAATGCAGTAGCCAAAAGCATTTCAGAAGCAGGACAAAGGAAAAGTGAATTTTTGCTTGTTCTCCTTGGGTAAAAAAACAAAACTGGAAAGCAGTGGTTGGTGTTTTGCAAAGGCACATGCCAATGCTTACTTGGAGAAGAGACTTCATGTGGTTCAGATACTTAGTTCACACCTTTTCAGATAAACTCTTGGGAGAATTGATATAGTAACAAATCAAGAAAAAAGTGTGGAAAACCCACTGGAGTTCCTCATGTGGCCTTGGGTTCCTCTTGCATTGTTTTTTTCTCTGCTAGTTTTAATCTCTACTTGAAATCTTTTCTTGAAGTGATGAACTGTCACCTATGGATTGTGTTTATCTATGCTTAGACAGTAACGTGCATGCTCTTACAAATAAAATCCTTGTTCCTTTATGAACAAGAAAAACAAAAGTGAACTGGAAGTCTAGAACAGCAGTATGAAATTAATAAACAATTACCTAGCACTGCAAAACAACAAGGCTTTTTTATCCTTACAAGATAATTTTAATTTATGAAGCACTGTTGGAAGAACTTGAGTATACTTTGCTTACTGGGTTTGACTGAAATTATTTATTATTTAGCATTTGATGCATTCCATTCCTAACTCTGCATACTGTGAAGTAGACACAAGGGTGTGTTTTGCTTAATGCAAAGATTACTGATCTCTGTTTAGGTTTTGTGTGGGAAGAGGTGTGAAAGCTCTTCTTTGACTGAAAGAGCCCAGTTCTGTACAACTACTAGTACTGGCATAGAATAATAATAATAAGGCTAATATCAAAACATAAAACAGGCCCCTTACATTCTCCAGATGTAGTAGGTGTGAATATGGTACTTCTACCCACAGGTCAAGAACAGTTTTCTGTGGAAAAAACAAGCATTAGGAAAAGCATTCTCAAAAACAAATTGAATCCTACATGAAGCTTCTTTGGGGCTGCTGTGAGGCCGAGTGGCCGTGTGACTGTACTGCTCGGTGCTGCTGCCAGACGTGCTGGCTGGGCTCCAGGGCTGCTGACATTTTTGGCTGTACGGAGTCTATGGGAGGAGTGGATACACCGATGTTCCTCCTGAACGTAACCTACAGCAATGTGGGTGTTCCTGCCGTTGTTTCCCCATCCCCCAGTTCGTAGTTACAGGTTCAGGCTGTGATGGAGGTGGAGGAGAGGCTGTCACAGAGGCAGGACACGGTGTAAATCCAGGTGGGGAGAAGGCTGCTCATAACCCCCGCAGGTGCGCCGTCTGCCGAGACAAGGTAAAGTGCGACTCGCAGAGCTTTTTTCCCTCCGTTTTTGACTGAGAACATCTTAAACCTCCGGCTGGGAGGGTAGGGGCCGTGCAGGGCTGAGAGGTGCTGGGGGTTCGCTCGCTCAGCGGCGTTCGAGGGCAGCCCCTGCCCGGCTCCTCCTCCGGTTGCTCCGGGCCGCTGCCTCCCCGGGGCTGGGAGGCGATGGAGAGCCCGGGAGAACCTTCCCGGGGAGGCGATGGAGAGCCCGGGACATCCTTCCCCCCTGGGGCTGGCGCTGGTTCGCAGCGGGCCGGGCGCTCCTGGCGGGGACACCCCGCTGTCCCGTCGACGGGGTCCGCGGGCAGCGGAGATACCGCAGCCGGCTCAGAGCCCCTGTGCAGCCCGGGACAGGAAGGACGGGGCAGGAGGCACCCAAAAGGGTTCCGCAGCCAAAGTCCTGTCCCGGGTCTGGAGGAGCCCCGGCCGCTGTGCCTCTGGTCCCCGCGCAGGAAATCCCGAGCTCAGAGCGGGGATCGCCGAGGCTTGGCTGGAAAACGGCGTGAATCTCTTCAATAAATAAATAGTTCCATGCTGCATTAGTAAAAAAACCAAAAAACGCCACCCAGGAAACCAGACTCAGCCCGTTCTCCAGTGCTGTAATTACTTTGTTTCTAGCACTTTTGGGGTGCGGCCAGGGGAAAAGGCTGAGCCTGCCAGGGCAGGCTTTCCAGCAGGTTGTGTCTCATGTCTGTAATAGGAATATTTCTGCAAAAGACGCAATAACGTGATCAAGACTTGATAATCAAGAAAGGAAAAAAGGGCCTGGGATGATATCTGTAATGTGTCCAGATAATTCAAGGAAGAAATGGAAGTAGCCTTTTTGTTTATTTTGCACAGTAAAGATGGGGCATCACTGTGAGATAAATTCTCCATGCAATCAGATTTTCCCACTTTATTCAGCAAGGGCTGTGGTGGACAGGCAGAGTGTGTTCTGACCCACTTCTTATCTTCTGTGTTGGAGTATCAACCGTGTCATCTTCAGTGTGTGCTCTTAAAGATGTCTGGGTCTTCCAGGAAGATTCTAAGAGGAATAAGTAGATGTAATGGCCTAGAAAGTACATCTCTCTTGACCCTATCACAGCTCTTAAAAAACAGCCAAAACAAAACAACTTCCCCACCCTCCCCCCAAAAAAAACCCAAAAACAAAAGTGAAAGATCCCTACTTTCTGAAGTAGGGCCTTTAGGAAGGGTGCACAGGCCACTGTCCTGAAAATGCATGCAGGTAACAGCTTGTACCTGTTTGTGGGAGTGACACCCTGGAGATAATTCCCAGACTGTGGCTTGTCCTTTGGGGCTCACAGAGATGCAGCAGGAAGATAAGGTTAGTTTTGGGGTTAGTTTTGTAATAGGGGGTAGGTATGAGATGATCTTGGCACGTATCATATTCTGAGAACTACATTGAATGCCAGAGACATTAAAAAAGGATTTTTCCTCTCTCCCTTCAGCCTCTCCTCTAGGGAATCGCTGAAGGTGACAGCTCTCCCACTCCATTCTTTGGGAACCATTCACACCTGCTCCTGTCATAGGTAGATCAGTAGTTGATCCACCTCAGGTGTGGATGTTTCTGGCTGGTGCAAAGCAGAGCAGGTCAGGCCAGACACCCAGCTGGAGATTCCCTGCCCAGCTTTGCACAGCTCAGGTGAGGGGTGACAAAACCAATTACGGTAATTGCTCCAGAACCCATAGCCTTGAATGAGTTCTCACTGCGGTGTGTGACAAAGTTACATGTATGCTTTTATAACCTCAATATAATTACATTGTTTGCCTGTTTATTTTCAATGCTGTTCTTTGTCCTAGGACACCAAATTCCTGCAGATCACTTTCCTCCTTTTCTCAACCACTCCATAAAACATTTCTTCCCAGCATCCATACTGGCTACCCACTGCTGCAAGCATCATGTGCTTGTGATGCTCAGGCAGGCTCTGGCTCCACTGGGTGGGTTTGCATGTGGGAAAAGATTAAAAAGGCGACACATTCATGGAGATACTCCTGCTACTTTAGCAAAGCAAAGTCAGTAGCATAAGCACTGCTGTCAGAACAAACTACACAGTAAATTAAACAACAGCTGTCAGGTCAGAAAAGTGTCTTTTATTCTGTAACTCATGGGTTGTACAGGATCTGATGTGCAGCATGTTGATTTTGACAGTACCCCACGTGAGCAAGGCTGCAAGATCAAGGTCTCTTTATGTCCAGGAGCCTTTATTGCACAGGGGAAAAGAGCCTCTCAAAACACCCTTGTCGCAGAACTGGGTGGGGGAGAATAAATAAACTGGCTTTGTAGAGCATCTTCTGGAAATTTGATCCTGTTTATCCCTTGGAGAAAAACATTGTCAAAACTTTTAGACGGAAATTTGCAATGTTTGTTTTAAGGAGAAGTTAAACATTTTTTCGTTGTCCTCCTTCTTACCCCTTCAGTTTCAGATCCCACTGTGAGCTGCCCCCAAGCAATGCCCGTGGCTGGGCAGAGGGGATGCGTGGGGCTCCTAACAGTAATTGCCCACTGCCTCCAAACCTTGGCAAGAAGAAAAAAAAAAAAATTTACTTATGGAAAACGAGCTGAGAGAGACTGAAAAAGGAGACAGGAAGATTGATCTGTTCTCTCCTCCCTACATCTGAACATCAGATGAACATGTAGCAGTGATCTCCCCTCAGCAAGCTGGGGCCATTCCTCAGCAGTGGCAGGAGGTTGCTTGGCTTGTTGAGAATGTGGTTTAATGAATGTGCAGTGTCATCTTTCCTGCTTTCTCCCCTATTCAAATAAGTGATATTTTGCAATGTTGAAAGTCATATTGGGAAGGTACTTGTCAAGAGGAGCTTTTCTCCCTTTTACCTCTCTTTCCCATCTCTGGTCTCACTCCTCCAAGCACAGTACACATGGTTACAACTCAGCTTTGAGTAAGTTGCCATCATATTGATGTGTACAAGTGAGAATCTCG